TGACTCAAAAAAAAAAAAAAATCCAACAAACCCCAAAAAAAAAAAAAAAAAAAAAAAAAAAAAAGCCTGCGTGGGCAGAAGTGGGAGTACCAGCTGGGCTCTGCCTCTTTCTTTAGAGGAGTCTGGGGGCAGAGGCTGATGTGGGACACCCATGAAGGGAGTCTGCTGCTGTTTCTGGGAATTATTTTTGTTTCTTGCACATCAGGAGGACTGGGGCATCTCACTTATGGCAGGCACCTAAGGAGCTCATTAAGCCAGTCCCCGAGCCCCACAGGGAGCAATCTGGCAGAAGCATGTGCATGATGTAACCCCCAAAACACCCGTGGGTAGGAGGCGAAGTCCCACTTTCCATACAGCCCCCAGCCCCAACCTGGACTTCCAGCCTCAGCCCCCGGCTTCCTGAAGAAGGTACACAGTCTACAGGTATGGCTCCTCCCAGAGGCCACGGCCCTGAAGGAAAGCAAAAGAGATAACATTTATGGCTTGATCTCCCTAAGGAGGCAGCCAGGACAGGGAGTGGCAGGGAGGAAGGGATGCACGGGTGGCTAATGTTTAACCACGAAGCTTCCCCTAGAGGCAGACACCGTTCCACGTTGGCAGGGATACCCAGTTTGACCCCTGCTGTCCTGGTCAGCTCAGGTTGTGTGGTTTAAATAACAGTCATTTATTTCCCACAGCTCTAGGGGCTAGCAGTCCAAGAGCAAGGTGTCAGCATATTTGGCTCCTGGCAAGTGCCTCTGGCTTTTTCTTTCTGTGTTTGTTCTTTGTCTTCCTCTTCCTCCTCTTTTTTTGTCTTTTTGAGACAAGGTCTCACTATATAGTTGAGGCTGGCCTTGAATTCACTATGTTGTCTAAACTGGCCCTGAACCCACAGCAATCCTCCTGCCTCAGCCTCCTATGTGTTGAGATTACATGTTAGCACCACCACACCTAGCCTGTACTTTGTCTTTGAAGGACATTAATCTCATCAGGATCCCAGTCTTTATCAGGATCCAACACTTGTGACTGATCTAAACCTAGTTATCTTCTAAAGGCCCCACTACCAAATGCCATCATACTGAGCACAGGATTGGCACTTGAATGTGTGAGTTTTGGGGGAACATAAACATTGAGTCTGTTACAGAAGAACCTAATACTTTATACTCAGCTTGTCAAGACCTGCCTGTTAGTCCAGCCTCCCCGGCGGGTAGAGGCTCAGAGGCTCTGAAACATCCAAGTTACAAAGAGATCAACTGAGCCAGGCATGGTGGTGCATATCTGTAATCCCAGCACTTGGGAGGCTGAGGTAGGAGGATCACCACAGCTTTGAGGTCAGCCTGGGCTACACAGTGAGTTCAAGGCCAGCCTGAGCTACAAAGTGAGAAGCAGTCTCAAGCAAATAAACAAAAAACAACAAAATGAACACCCGAGCAGCAAGATCTTATGTAACTTCTTTATGCCTCCTCTATAAAATGGAGATAATACTTAAGGATTTGATGAAATAAGAACAGTGCCCAGGGGCCAGGGATTTAGCTCAGCGGTTCCAGAGCCTGCTTTGTAAGCATAAGGACCCGAGTTCAATCCCTAGTACCAAAAAATAAAATAAAATAAAAAAGAACAGTGCCTGGCACATAAACATCCGTTGCGCATTTAGGAAAGACTCAATAGACAGCTGATGAGTTCTTTGTTCACATAACAACAGGCTTATATTTTCTTTCATTATTATTATCTAAGCAAAAAATAAGGGTGCAAGAACAGAAATGAGATCCCCCCCCCAATGAAATAAGTATCTCTTTGATGGTGGAAAAACAAAATCTTCAAAGCTCCCTGGGGCTGGCTACATTCCCAGGCAGGACCCGCTCTCGGTAGTAAGATGACCATGAGAAGCACTGGCTTAGTTTCCTCAGGAGGGGCACCCCCAGCCGCACCCGGCACTTTCCAACAGTTCCAGAGGAGATGCCTGACTTGGTCTCCTGCATATTCCTAACCTCAGTCTCTAGCCAGGGGCTGAGGTGAGACTGGCAAGGTGAGGAGCCAGCCTCTTCCGGAAGCCAGGGTGGGGTCCACCCCTCCTGAACCACAGGTACTTGGGATGAGGAAGGGACAGCTCCCCAGGGCATCAGGGTGCTGCTGTGAAAGATGAGTGAGAAGGGGCTGGGCTGAGGCCCCCACCTCAGGACATTGCTCCCCAAGTCACCTCCACAGTGGGATGGACTTTCATCCCCATGCATCTGTGACACGAAGCCAGGAGCCCTCTTTCTACTCCTTTGTAGCTGCCTGAGTTGAGAGGAAGGTCCCAAAGGTCAGGGACCTCATCAGGAAAGCAAAGTCTGGCTGCGCACACGACTGCAATGAACTGTGCTGGTAAGGAAATAGGGACGGAGACTCCCAGGGAATCACGGGGGAAGGACTGACTTTCACTTGTAGCAGCAGCGCCCTGTGAGCCCTCGATGGAGTCAGGCTGCACACAGGATGGCCTCCCTTGGATTTTATGAAGTCATCACCACTGTCGTCCCTCAGAGGTGGGGAGTGGCAGCCAAGAGGAAGCGGGAGGTGGCTTACATTCGCACCCTGACCCCTGTCCTGCTGACCCTTTGCTGCCTCCAGAGCTCTGTGCTTCTGGTTCTCTGCTGTTCCTGCAACACACACATCTTTCCAGGAAGCCAACTGGAACTTTTGGAAGTGGGTGGGGAGTATAAATAATAAACGGCATTGAGTCACCAGCATCCAGGGCATTGTGGGCTGTGGCAGCTGTGACCACAGCTCTTGGATGTGGCCAGGGGGTCCAGACCCCAGAGAGACCTGAGCTCA